ATTCACACAGTAAGAATTTGCCTTATTTCCCCCTAAAAGCCTGACCTTTGACTCTCCTCCACCTGCAGCGGTCCATTTTGCGTGCTTGAGCGGGCTTCTTGTGGTTGATCTGTCGGCCTGGCCCCTGACTGGGGAAGGAGTCTCGGCTCCTGCAGATCAAGGGGGTCCTACTGTACCCCAAGATGGGCAGGAGTGGTTTCCACAAACAGAAGCTGAATAGGAACGCAGCCACCAGGCTGTCCTTCCGGGGCGGCTCCAGGGAGGGAGATGACTACTCCTCCAGGGGCTCTGAAAGAGGCAGCAGTTTCCAATCGCTGCCTTTCTTAGCAATGAGCGCTCTTTTTCACACGCTTCCTTGACCATGCAAATGTGCTGCCTGAGGTCCCGTGTCTCCTATCCTGGTAGGAAACCCGACAGCAGAGCACACAAATTCCAAGGAGCATCGTTTCAAATGCCCAAAGCAGGCAGGTGACAACAGGCTCACGGCTCATTAAAGGAACACACATTTCAAGTCAACCTCTGTCATCTGCTAATCACAGTGAGTTGACACCGGCACTGGCTGGACACTGCCGTGGCTCTCTCCCCACCCAAGGCAAGACGGCCTCCTCTCGTCCCCCTGAACCCCTGCACTCGGCCTCTTCTTCCTGCCCGGCCCCTTCACACTGACAGCTCACAACTACATCCTTGGGTCCTCCTCCATCTTTAACCAGACACCCTCTGGATTATCTCTGAGCCTGCACCCCACTGCCAGGGTTAGCCCCACCTTCCAGGCACGCCCCCAGTTCCACTCCACAGGAAGTACACTTCGGAAAGATAGCTGCCTCTGCTTGCTTTTGAGACAGGTTTTGCTACGTAGCCCAGGCGGACTTGGAACTCAGCCTCTCGGGTGCTGGACTACAGCACACAGCAGCATCCTTGCCTCAGAACTGACAACTCTCGCCCCGCGTGGCGGCACACACCTGTAACCCCAAGGCGAGGCTGGAAGATCACCAAGAGTTCAAGGCCAGCCTGAGCTACATGCAAGACTCTATCTCCAAACACAAGAGCAAAACTAAAACAAAACAAAAGGACCCGAAGAAAGACTACTGTCTATGAAAGAGAATAAACAGTATTTTTTAAAAAGTGAAGAATACTTCAAGAATTTATCACCTAATGCTCAGAATAAGTCTTGGCACTCTGATCTTTTCTCCTGTCTCTCTGTCTCCTCAAGACTGAGCCCAGGGACGGGTGCACGCCGATCAGGCGCTTTACCACTGAGCTCCGTGTCCAGGCTAGCACACGCTTTCTTAGCACTCCAATCTGTGAACAGTGCGGCTAGCCAGGATGAGACACATCAAAGCCTTTGATAGCAAACCTCACACTCAGATCCAAGGATACAGATCACATTAACTGAAGCCCCGTTTCCCCCGGGAACTCTGTGACTTTCTCCACAGCCTCCCTCAGCAGCACATACCAACCCAGGAGTACACAGCGCACTCTTACTGCTGTTACCTGCCGGAAAGGACACATTAAGCCGCGGTGGTGCTGCACATTAAATCCCAGCACTCTGGGAGGGCTGAGCCAGCCTGCAGTGAGACTCTACCTCAAAAAACAAAACAGAACAGAACAACAACAGGACTCCAGCCAGGACCACCTGGCCGACCTTGCCTCCTTCCATCATACTTCGTTTCAGGTTTTTGTGTTTTTGAAAAGGTCTCATTTTGTAGCCCAGGCTGGCCTTGAGCTCACGAAGTCCTTCCTGGGTGCTGTGAGGACAGCGCCATCACCCTAGCTCCCCCTCCACACCCTCCTAACCACTTCTGCAGTACAGTGCCCTAGCCTTCGTTTTGCAGATAAATACAAGGCTCTGAGCGGTCAAAGGACTTGTTCAAGGTCACCCAAGAGGCAGGGAGCATGGGCCCAAATTCTGGCTCCTTAGGCACCTGGCTTTCAGGATGCCCTAAGGAGTATGGTGATCTGGATCATTTCTGGTTGGGGACAGCCAGGCTGAGATGACACACCCAGGGCACACACTGAACGAGGGTCAAATCTTGAACAAAATGCAACACATCCTCATGAAGACCAAATGCCAGCCATCCCAGGGCCAGAGAGGCCACCTCACAGCCAGGGACCGGAACACCCACCACCACAAGCCCAGAGACCCTGGCACACATAGCTCAGGTGACCCCTACACCCCGAAGCCTATACAAGGCCAAGCTGACTTGGCCTCTGCAGGTGACTCCGAGCCCAGGTCCAGCCAGAGTGCGACCAGCCGACCTTTCCTCCTATCCAGGGCTCTCTCCCCACGGGTGGGCAGCTCACTCCGGCTGTAACCTGCTGCCTGGGAAACCCGGTCAGTGACAAAGTGCGGAAAGAACAGTCCAGCAGAAGCCAGGGAAGGAATGCACAGGGCTTCAGGGAAAGATTTTCGTTGGCAGGTGGCTCTTTGCGCTTTTAGTTTCCTGGCCATTCCAGAAGGATGAAAATCATGGAACGCTAACTTCCATACGTGGGTCCCTGTGAAAAACATTTTTACTTAACAGCTGTGCTTCTTAAAAGAACTGTTTAGTTGTGGAAAGGAGGTTGGTTTCTCAAGGCCAAGCTGAGTGGGACCAGAGAGCTCAAAATTGGTCACGACTATGACTTGATGTGCTACAAAAATGAAGTTCTTTCAAAGGCAATATACTGACACAGAGGGGGTCAGACTCAATTATCCAGGAATGAATTAGGTTTAAATTTCCTATTAAAAAACTTAAAAATTTCATTCTGGTTTACTGTAAATGAATTCATTCTCCAAATAAATTTTGGAAAATCGTTCTCCATGTCTCAAGGAAACTGGGCACGGTTGGCTCAGGCCTGCAGTCCCAGCAGTGCAGGAGACTCAGGCAGGAGGACCACAAACGCAAGCGAGGCTTGGGCAATTTAGTGAGACCCTGTTTCAGAGTAAAAACATAAGGGCAGGGGACGTAGCTCAGTGCAAAGGCCGCCTGGTTAAATCCTCAGTACCACCCCTGCTCTGAAATCTCGGGCGAGATCTTAGGGCTCTGATCATTCCCCCCACAACACTGAACAGAAAGCCACCTGGTGCTGGCGTGCCCAGTAAATGATAAAAGCTCTCCCGCCCCTGCGAGCCCGGTAGACAATGGATCCACACTGTAAACAGGAAATCTAGAACCCAGAAACAGGACGCATGGGTCTCATTTATAGCAGAATTTGCTGGTCCTGTCTAGCTGCCTTCTTCACTCTCAGTATACAAAGTTAAGATGACACTGTAAAGTTTAAAACCTGGGGAGACCAGGTATGGCAGTGCATGCCTGTAACCACAGCACGTGGGATTCTGAGACAGGAGGACCACAGCAACTTTGAAGCCTGCCTAGTTTATATAGTGAGTTCAAAGCCAGTCTGAACTACAAAGCAAGACTTTCTCTCAACAAAACCAAACAAGGTTTTTAAAAGGTGAATTGTGACATTTCTGTATTTGGTCAACCACATGACTATTATCCTTATAAATTTTAAACAGAATTCCCTAGGTTTTGTGGGGGGCCTGCTTCCATTTGAGAGTTTCAGGAAAAGTCTCCAACCTCTACAGCACACTGAGCATTTTGAAGAGAAGCCTTGAAGTCCTAGGGAGAAGAGATCCTTGGTTGCTACCTCGACACAAACAGCACCACACCCAAGACTGACCCCAAACACACTCACAAGAGACATTATCCTCTGGACCATACATGTAAGAATTAAGATTACTTCTTTTTCTCTAACTAAATTATGCTGTTTTGTGTTCAGGTTTGACTTTTTTTGGGGGGAGGGGGGAGAACCTAGCAAATATCATTTACCACCTTCGGAGTTCCTCTTGCAGCGATACCCTGAGACAGAAAATCAGCACACATCTGATGCTGGCATCTAGCACTGCGCCTGTCCACAAAGGCACTGGGCCTGTTTCATAAGGATTTCACCTCCTACAGCTACAAATACTCGAAGTGCCTCACACTCACTGGGCGGAAAAACAAAATGACAAGAAGTGTTTCTTTGGTTCCCATCCATCAGTTCAGTAAGAACAGACCTTAAAACCCCAGTCTTAAGTCTTAAGTCAGACCTTTAACAAAGCCTTTCTGATCACCTGCAGCTATGGTTCAGCAAGCCTGGAAAACAGGTAAGTGGCTGCTCAATTATTGATGACCCTGATGCTCTATGAACAAGTGACAAGAGAGGCAGAAAGACTGGCTTCATTACCACGCTGCTTCCAAACACAGGGAGGGGAATAAGCAAGCAAAAAGCCTGTAAATGACGAGCCAGAGTGGTTCCTTTAATAAGAGACTGACATATAAAAAAGGGGTTTACTCAAAACTTTGGCATCGATAATTAACAAACTCAGAACAAGAACCCCAGGTGCTTTGTAACGGTTTACAAGATCTGAAATTCCCTAAGATTCTTTCATAGTAAATAGTGAGTGCCAGGCCTGGTGGTGCACGCCTGTAATCCCAGCATTCGGGAGGCTGAGGCAGGTGGATCGCCATGAGTTCGAGGCTTGCCTGGGGTACATAGTGAGACCCTGTCCCCAAAAACAAAACAACCAAAAAAAGAAAAACAAGAAACCCCAATCAAACCCATAGTAAATAATAAGTAGCACAGTTGAGGGTCGCTTATGGGAGGCGCTCAAGGGCACTTGGAAGAACTAGGAGCTCTGTAGTCTCAGGTGTGGTAAACTGAGGCACAGCAGAGGTCAAGAGCTGAAGCTAATGAGCCAGACAGCCCAGGACAGAACTGCAACTCCTGCGCTTTCTAGTGGTGCGACTTTGGAGATAACGCATCATCTATGACTTCTCAGTTTCCTCTATTACAAAAGAAGGGTCCTCAATATGGGCTGCTGTGAGAATCCAATCAGTTAACATAATAGATGTGCTCGATTATCACGGTGGCTCAAAAGTAAGAACTCAACAAAAATCAAGGTTCGATATTAAAACATCACACAGACCAACTGACCACACCCCCCCACCCCCACCACATCCAATGTCTCAAGACAGACAAGCTTGGCTAGTTTGACCACCAGAAAACCCGAGAGATAGAATTTGGAATTCTTGGGCAGGGCTGAAAGTGCGGACCCTACAGCTTTGCGCTGACTGGTACACACGACGGCCTGACCTTGGAAGCCTTGTTGACCTCCACGCCAGATCTCGAATGCTAGCTAACCAGTCAGCAAGAAAGGAAATGTACCGCAAACGTGCATGTGCCGGACAGACTCTTTCGCATTATTATTATTTTTTATTCTTTGGGAAGCCAGGGTAGAAGCGCTTGACTTGAATGCCGAAGCCGTTAGGAGGGCACCCCTTCTTTCCCGGCCTAGGGCTCCTTCCTAATCTGCGGCCTCCAAATGAATCTTGGGAGGCTTTGCCTTTGATTTCCGGATAGCGGCTCCGGAAAACGAAGGAGGGCATGGGACGCTCGCCTCGGGGGCTGGACTCGCTCCAGAAGCAGGTCGACTCCACTGCAGCCCCGGAGACCGGACGGAGCCACCGGGAGATTCCCGGTGGCCTTGACCTTGGTGTCCGAGGCTCAGTTTGCCGTCCCGCTGGTTCTGGGCGATGACACAGCCCTTCGGCCAGGGCAGGTAAGTGGACCCAGGGTGGAACCGGGCCCGGGGAGCTGCAAGCCCACGCCAGCAGCCTCCCCGGGGGCTCTGCTCCCTCCGGTGGGTGCGGGGCCTTTGCCCTGCGCGGGCGCCGAGCACGCGCGCCCGGGTGGCGGAGCGCACGGGAGGGCCTGGCTCCCGGCCCCTCGGCGACAGGGTCGGGGCGGTGGGGACAGCTCCGAGGGCGGCGGGCACGCGCGTCGGCGGGGTCACGCGGCCTCCCCGGCCGGGCCGCGGCCAAGTGGGGCGGGGGCGGAGCGCGGGCCTCCAGCGCCGCCCTCCGCGCCACCGGGCCCGGCCTGCACACCGACGGCGCCCGCGGCAGGCCTCACCTCCCTGCGCACGTTCAACAGCGAGTAATAGTCTTCATTGTCCAGCTCCTCCTCGCTCAAGGCCGTCGCCATCTTCGCAACCTTTCACCCCGCCAAACCGGCGAAGCCGTGCTCAAGAGGGCCCGGCGCTCCGCGGCCGCCCCAGCGCGGGCCGCCCGGCTGCACCACAGCGGCCCCTAGCGGCCCGGAGCCGCCCGCCCGCGCACTGCGCCCCCGCGCGGCCGAGGGTGGGGCCCTGCACGCGCTGCCCCGGGGCGGGGATCCCAGCTGCCCGCGCTCAGCTTGCGCCCGGGCTCGGAAAGAAAAGCTTTCAAGTCAGATCCGCCAGGCTGTCACCTTCTGGATGCTGCGGAGACGGCCCCTCTGGGACCACTGTTGTCCCCAAACCCGGGAAGAGGGCACCGGGTACCCTTAGCAGGGCACACCCAGACCCCGTATCCCGGCCTGGGTCTCAGGTCCCAGCCTCGCAAGGCTTATGGCTAGAAAGCCATGTCGATGAGACTTGTGTTTTTTCTCTTGGCCATCCAAAAAAACCCGCTGACCAGAGAATGGGATTTCACGTTTTAAATAAAAAGAAGAGAAAAAAATGACTGGTCTTGATGGCGTATGCCTGTAATGCCAGCACTTGGGAGGCTGAGGCAGGAGGATCTGGATAGGAGGCCAGCTTGAACTAATAACAAGACTCTGTCTTAAAAAAAAAAAAAAAGACTGTCCAGTATTTAGGATCACCTGGTCGTCTTTTCTGTTGTGTAAACGACCAGGCTATACCGTTTGGCGCCTCCTATAATTGTCTGTGGCATGCCTGTACCCTTCCAGGTTCCCACCCCAAAGCCATTCTGCTGTAAATTTCTCCCTTATAATTTAGCAGTGAAGTCTAACTGATTTCAACCTGGTGCCTGCTGTTTGGTGCATGACTAAAGACGTCCTGGTTACAATAATCTAAATAATTTAAATGTCTCCGAAATGATGCCATTCTCCAGAGGAAGTGGCAGCCGCTCAGGTTCCTACCACCTGCTCACCTCCCACTGACCGGGGCCAATTCTTTACGGTTTCTCGAGAATCTTCGCTGCTTAACCAAGCCTCAGATCGGAACGATCGGGGTTGCCCTGCTGAAGCAGGCCTCCTGGGATGCCCCCAACACCTGTCTGCAGATCTGAGAAGTTAATTTGTTTCTCCTTCTAACTTTTGGCCAGATGTGCACCATCTGGGCCTGTGTATCCTCCCATCCGACCTGCCGGGGCCTCTCAGGCTCTTTTTGCCCGAGTCCCCTAAGTACACGGTGACGGGTCGTTCCCGTGCAAGTCTGTCTGCAGCTGCTCTGGCAGCCCAGGCTGGGCACCGATACTGTGTCTTCAGCTGAGAGGCTCTTGTACCATAGCATGCAAGCATCTCATAGCCAGTCAGCTTGTCCGGAGGTTTCTATAGGCTTTTTGTTTTTCTCCTTTGCAGAGCCCAGATTAGGACGGTGGCATCTGCAGGTCTTGAAGAATTTTGTAGAGAGTGCTTGGTGGGAGGCTATGTTCTTCTCCTAGGGTCGTGGCCATGAGTGGGGCTTTCATACCCACTCAGGCAGAGGAGTTCTGTGTCAAGCCTGCTCTTCTAGAAATGACATACTTGGAACACAGTGCATGCCTCATGATGCCCGGCTGGGCCTTTTGTCCTGGGGAAGGACCTGGTTTTTATCACCATTTGCACAAATGAATCGCACTCGGTGCCTGTTCTCTTCAGGCCTCAGGGTGGTGAGGAAGAGACCCAAACCTCCCCACGCTGTGAGGCTCAGGGACGCCTTAGTGTCAGAGCCTGTCTCCCTTCCCCAAACCCTGGTCTGCGGTGGGCAGAAGGAGAGAAGCCAGGGCCGGTGCAGATTCATAAGTTGAAAAACGCTTCAGCACAGCACGCTGCTCAAGCGGGAGCAGCTGCCAGAGCTCCGCCACCTGAGCTCAGGGCTTTGCCATTGTGTTTTGCTTTGCTGGATAAAGCTACAAATTTGTAACTTAGCTGTGAAACAAAACAATGTATGTATGCAATGTATTTATGTTACTATAGATACCTTTCTCTCTCTCTCTGTGGAACTGTTGTTGGAGTCTTTAATCTTCTTTTAAAATGGTTTTAAGTCAGGATCTTGCTATGTATTCCAGGCTGGCCCTGAACTCAGGGTGATTCTCCTGCCTCACAGGGTGTGGACCACCCTGCCTGGCTTTTAAATTCTTTCATCTTTTTGGTTTTCAAGACAAAGTCTTGTTATGCAGTCTAGCCTGGGCTCGAACTTGTGGCCATCCTCCTGCCTCAGCCTCTTGAGTACTAGGATTCCAGGTGTGCACCTCCACGTTTGGCTTTTAAATTCTCCAATCTTTAAATGTAAATATCAGGACGTGTATCCCCACTGTCACTCATTGTCAGAGTGACCCTAAAACATTTTGGTGCCCAGCTCAGCCCCTCTGTGTAGACCCTCAGGAAATTTCCTTCATTTAATGTCTTGATCCAGTTCCCGGGCTCTCTCTTCTCGCACATACTGGAGAAGACAGCATTGCTGGGTGGACAGAGTGTGCTAAGTTTGAATTTCCCATAAAGAATGAATGACTTTTTAGCATACGCATCTAATGTTACTTGAAGGCATGTATCTGTGATTCAAATGTAACAGGGTGCTATAGTTCAGATTAAGAATGTCCCCAAAAGCTCAGTGGCCTGGCAGCACTAGGAAGGAGTGAAAACCCCAGGAGGCATGGCCCACTGGAAGGTCTTTAAAGGTCTCTTTCTCAGGCTTCCTCAGCCACCAGCCCAAAGCAAGAGGGTCAACAAGTTACCAGCAAAACTCTCCAAAGCTGTGAGCCAAGATAGACCTTTCGTCTTTATAAGTTGCTTTGTTTGGGTGTTTGTTATAGTAACAGCGAGCTGACTAGCTCCTGGGCATCCCTGGTTCTATTTGCAAGCTCAGCTGGAGGCCCTTCCATCTCTCCCTCTTTTTCTTTTTTTGCAGGACCTCACTTTCCCTCTTTTCTTTAAAGTCCAAAAGAAGAGGAAGCAGCTGCCCCTGCCCCATCTCCAGCTGGGCTGAATCCAGATGGCTTCTCTCGAATGCAGGAGGAAGCGTTGCCTATAATCATGTTATTATTCCTTTGTTGCTGAGTCCGGGCTGAGATTTAGAGCTTGCTTGCCATTCATAGCCCGTTCCCCCTTTCCCTCGTGAGAACTGATAACCCTGTTCACGGAGACGGGGCCCCGCGTGGCTGAAGGAAGGAGGCAGGAAGCCACAGCACTCAGGATTAAATCTTCTGATGTTATCTGCGCCCTCTGCATTCGGGGCCTTGTCACTGACGTTGTTGTTAGCCGTGCTGATAATTGCAGCAGGGTCACCGGTGAGGCACAGCCTTTCTCTGCCCACGGAGACAGCTGCCCACGGAGGCCAGGTGGAGCTGGCAAGCGCCTCAGCCCGGGGCAGCCTCCAGCGGCCCCAGAGACTTGCAGTGGGGTGCACTGGGAGCTCCTGGGAGTCGCCTACAAAGCATTTAATTCCTGAATCTTCAGCTCAGAGCTTTGACCTTGAAAATGCATTTTACCTGCAATGGGACCCATCCACATGTCCATTCGTGTGTCCATCTATGTATCCATCACTCCACTCACCCACCCACCCACCTGTCCATCCACCATCCACGCATCCATCCACACATCCATCCACCCATCCACCCACCCGTTCATCCTTCCATCTACCACTTATCCATCCATCCTTCCTTCCTTCCTTCCTTCCTTCCTTCCTGTGGGACTGTTGTGACTCTAAACTCTCGCTCTCTGTATATTAATCCACCACAATCAATCAGCTCCTTCGGATGACCCAGTTGGTGCCCATTGCACCACATCATCATGGACATTCGGTGATCATGGCCCTTGACTTTGGTAAACGCAGAGTTCAAGGTCATGCCACCGCCACCTGACTTCCACTGGGGCCAGTCCTTTCATATTCCCTTCTATTAACATCCTATACACCCCCCAAAGCATCGGTTCCACTTCTCTTTCAGTTTGAAGACAGAACTCGAGAATGGGGCTTTGAGTTTCTGCAATCTTCATGAGGAAAATGGCTTCAGTACTTGTGGAATCTCCTCTCTCTGTCTCTGTCTCTGTCTCTGTCTCTCCTCTCTCTCTCTCTATACACAGTAAATAAATTAGTTAATGTGCAAGGTGGTTTCCGGTGATGAGTAGCAGGTTACTCTGCCTTGGTTGGGTCTGGGAAGGTCTGCCTGGGGAGGTGATACTGAACTGCAGGGTGGGAAGGGTGCAGCTTTGCCAGTCTGAAGGAATGTATTTCCCGTGCCAGAGCTGTGACTTAGGCATAGCTTTGTTGGGCTTGAGGGGAAGGCACATGTGAGCACGCAGCTGACCAGAGGTGGGGACCACGGAAGGAGAGGACATGGAGTGTTACAGAAAAACCAGCGTCAAACCCAATGGAAGGCTCTGCTCCGAGGAGTTGGAACACAACTGTTTATGGGCCATGAGGCCAGCAGTTTGGGGGGCAGTTAATGATGTCCAAATCACCAGCCCCAGGTCTGGTTTTGGGTTCAGTTTAAATACAGTTTGTAAGCAGGAAGGGTGAGAAGATGAACAAGGTTGTTTGGTTACATTGTCAGTCAGGTCATTCTGCATAGATTTACCTAAAAGGAATTGTTTATGGTAACAATCCTGGGGAGGCAGAAGGGGTTCCAGCAAGGGAACAGAGTTAAAAAGTATCTTTCACTGGGTTTCTTCACCCCACCCAAGCCTTGGAGGCCAGAATTAAGGGAGGCACAAACCAAGAAAGGTCAGAAAGGTCAAACTGGCCCAGCACTTGGGCAGAATAAAAACAGCCGGACCAGGCAGCCAGGGTGTCCTGAATCCAGCAGGGGTTTCCTCATCGGCAGCAGGAGCATGGGCGGAAGCTGCTGTTTGATTTTAACCGCTTATAACTAAGGTCTGTGAGTTCGTTACTCTGTAACTGTGCCTTACTAATCATACAATTGTGCCCTTACACTGTAATTGTACCCCAACAAGAAAATCTATGAGATGTGCTAAAAACATATGGTAAATGTTCCAATAAAAATAAAAATACCAAAGGATCCATTGCTATGAATTCCCCTGAAAATACTCCCCCAGCTTCGAGCGTGCTTATCCCACGGTTCCTGCTTGAGACAGGATCTCAC